GGATGGGCAGGGTGAAAGTTCTTAAAACTAACATAACAGGGTGGAGGGAGAGATTGATAACTGAATCTTTGTTTATCGAATCAACACCTAATACATGCAACAAGAATGACTCAGCGCCTGTTACGGATGGATGGAAAATTTTACTAACCATTTCACAAAGAGACGAAAAAATTAGGACTGTATAAAGGATGTCTCAAACTTGTGTAATTGTCTTGATATGACTATGGACAATAAATTATGTCCGAAACGTAATCCAGTAAACAAAACTGTTACACTGTATGACAAATCTAATAAATGAATAAAAATTGGATTAGATTCATGTCGAGCATCTTTTTCGATGCAGAAAAGAATCTGCTTGTGGAGAAAGGGTGGTAGAGTTACGTACATTTGAAAGGCTAGGAATACTTATCAAAATGTTGCGTATACCTTTCATTGTGCAGTTTTATGTAGGAAATTTCCTGAAAGTTTCTTCAATGATTTACTTATTCTCCTTATTATTATTATGATAGGTGTTTTACGTACACATTCTCCAACTACGTTTAACTGAGCACCGACAAAATACACATTGTATTTTCGAGATAAACAATCTCTTTGAAATAATGATTTTATCATTATAGGGATCATACTACTGAGAATTTAGGGTTTTGATAGAAATTATTTATTCTAATCATTTACGGTGTATGTATCAAATTACAGTCGTAGAATGCACTCCAACCAAGAAGGTTAACTATCTTCAGATGTTAGGGAGCATATATTCGAAACGGCCAAGTTTTATTTGTTTTTCACTAAATTTTAATATCTATTCTACTTCGGAGTATAACCATATTTGTCGAGAAAAAGAAGCAAGACTTCTTGAAGGGGAAAAAAAGTTTCGTTTAGAAACATGGAAATTATTACTTGGGCCAGTAAAATGCTGAATTAATGAGACACATTTAAAAAATTAGTTCACTACACGCATAAGTCTTAAATCTGACATAAGTGAAGTCAAATGGTTAGGATTACCACGAAACTATCTTGGAGAAAAGTGTTTATTTCGATTATTAACCTAACGAGTATTCCACTTATCCACCTTATTGCTAGGTAACGATGATGGAAATAAATCAAATCATAGTTTAAGCTCGTTAGTTTAACAGCAAAGACAGCGATTGCACACCATAGAAATAATGGAATCTGTGAAAAGTTAAATAATAAAATCTGGCAGTTTGTTCGCGATATTAAGCGATAAGATACACCTACTAAAAATGAATGTACTGCAAAATATCGGATAAACGAAATTCGCTTAAAGCAGATTATCAATTTGTTTTTAAGCTAAAAACAGATTTCTTTAATACTCTATCATATTCTATGAAGTTCAAACAGTAAATTAGTGATTCTATGTAGTTGGTTTATGAGAAATAACAACAAACACTTTAAAAGTTGTATTTAACACTGAAGCTCAATCCTCCTAATCTGTTTTACCTGTAGGCCAAAACGGACAGGGTTCAACAAATATTAAAAGCCGCATAGGATTACTTAGTAGTGTTTGCTATATCTCGCTGAAAAGTATTGTACGGGAAGCAAAATTCACATTTCACTATCTGACTGCAGTTCAAAGTATAAATGTTGAATTATTTGGGCTTGCATTAAATTAAATTTCTGTTTTGCAAGGATGTATTTTTCCTTAAGTTTGGAGGCTTGCGGAGATTTTTTGACTTCAGGTTAATGTTTATCGCAGACTAGTATCAGCTGGAGAAACATTGGTAATCTGAGATCACTGGGCAGCTGTTTCGTCTTAGTGCGGGACTCCTCAGCAGTGCGCAACCATGACCCCAACAGAGATCGAAGACGGGACCTTCAGGTTCCGCGGCCATCATGTTGCCATTGAGCCAATGGGTCGGAATCCATTGCATATTTCTTTCCCGAGTATTTAGATTTAGAAAGAACACAATCATGAGTGGTGGAGCTATGTGAGACAATCTTAGCTCTATAGACTTATATTCTGGAGAGAGAATGATGAAATACGTTGATTCAACTTACGGAGGTTAAGTTTCTGAGGTTTCTGTAGTCGAAGTGATAAAAAAGTATATAAATTTTAAATCGGTGATAATAATTCAAATAAGGTTCTCTAAAAGGCATGAGTTCGCCAAAACAAATTAATTTACTGATTTGACAAAAAATTTGTTCAGTGTAACTGAAATTTTTAACTGACCATTTGAAAACCGTCTAAAATAGAAAACTATGTCAAAGGATTTGAGTAATCCAAACACATTGAATAAGGATCAGAAAAAGAAACATATTAGAGCGTTGTTGAACTCAGTCTAAAATACCTGCCACTTTATTCGTTTTTGTCGTTAGTCATATGATATTTTTGAAGCAATTTCGGTGTGAATCAGTTTTAACAGGTGGACATCTCACAAACTCAAATGGTTTTGCTTCTTACAGATACTTTTCTAACTGACAGCGAAAAGATAAACTGATGGTAGCGAATCTATAGCATATATCCCCTTCCATCAAACTGAAACTTGTTCAAAGCCCGTCATTATTTTTATGTGTTTTCTTCAAAACAGTTACTTATTTAAATCGGTTTCTATTGTTCTCAAGAAAAAACTATCCTATTAAAATGTGATGTATTTCTGTACATCCTTCTTCAGCGTACCTGAACGCAGTGGATGACTGTGTCATTTTACAAACCGTATGAACTTACTAAATTTTATCTACAGATAGCCGACACCTCTAAGATCTGAGATATAAGCATTTGCCAATAAAGTTATACTTGAACATACTTTATTGGTATTATATCTTTCTAAACATTCTACACGTTTTGCAACTGAAAAACGTAATAGGTCTTCAAGTTAGAATTCATCAATGGGTGACTAACACAAGTTGGATATGTACTGGAAATATAGGAGCGCTGGAATGCTGTTTCGTCATAGTATGACACCAATCACCTCATCAGGGATCAAGCCTAGCACCTTCAGGTTTCGTGGTGAGCACGGAACCACTGGGCCACTAAGTTTGATGAAATTCAACTGTTCACATTTTCCTACTTTTGTCAATTCGCTATGTAGCGCGAACCTTATTCAACGATGGCATTGGATGGTATCGTGCTCTCTGTGAAACTCATAGTCTTGGTTTCGGCCTTTGGTGGGGTAATGGGTGCTCACCATCCCATATAAGAATGAAACAGCTGTCAAGTGTTCCCATCTTTTAAATGATTTCCCAGCTGATGTCAGTCCGAAATGAATACCAGCTTGAAATCGATAAATTCCAGATAAACGTCCAAACTGTTACTTTTTCTCACCAAAATTATAGATCCTCTGGTTGAAGGATGTGAACTATGAGCATTGTTCAATGTTCTAGTCAATTTTACACAGTTTTGAATTGAAGAGTACTGTATTTCAGTGACATTTCACAATAATTTCGAAATATTAGACCGTTCTGAAAGACTTTTATTCTTTTCAACTAATCTCATTTTGTACTGGGTGATGATTTCGCCTCTTGTCATTGTTCTGCTTCGGTTAAGATGTCCCACCAATGGTTTTATTCCAAGTACCAGAAGGACATGATACTTTTCACTCAACAACTGTAGATCACTAACTAATAAATTTTTATATTCCGAAAGGTTTCTGGAACTCTTTGGTCCACTGTATCAATTATAATATAGTTTAATAGATGGATTCATATCATTGGTTGCTAACATAAAATAATTTTCGAAAATGTGTGGTCTTTTTGTATGCGCCACAGTGAAGTGCTACGTTTTTACAGTCAGTTCTTGGTTGTATTGTGTTCTCTGAGCTGGGTTGTTTAGTCGTGAAACTTTCATCGTCTTTCTGGGTGACACCATCAGCACTAACTTCAGTATAAAGAGCGTTGTCAATATTTCTCCGTGAAAATATTGACAGCGCTCTTCATACTGAAGTTAGTGCTGATGATGTCGTCTAGCAAGGCCATGAAAGCTTCATGATTAAACAACCCAGCTCAGAGAACACAATACAACCAAGACCATCCACCTGAGCTACAAATTTTCTCCATTATTACAGTCAGTTCATTTGTAGTGAGTGCAAAATGTTCAAATTTTATGCGACAGAATTCTTGTCGTTGCCATTCGAATAGTACAATGCGAAAACTGTGTTTTCTTCTTTTTAATTTCAAAACATTAGGTATTATTGTGTTATTTCTGACTCGTTAATGAACTTTCTGTTCACATGGCAGAAGTTCACTGCTGGTATCGTACTACCAAATGACAAAATAAAATATTCTTAAAATCAGGATTTTTCAAAAGGAGTTATTATATTTCAAAAAGTTTCCTAAAAACTGTCATAATTTAGCGATCATTTTGGTAGTTTTACATTGGTTAATTAGGTAAGTTTTGTTTGAAAAACCACCAGTTTAGTGTGAAATAAGAGTGAAACGTGCATGTTATGGCAAGATACTACTTTTCCACTCATGATAAACAGCACACAAAGAAGCAAAACTGGTCTCGAAGTAACGTCCTAGACACAATTTGTTATTCACGTTAGCATCACTATCACATCTTAGGTACACAGAAGAAAGAGAAGTATGACCTGATAGAGATTCTGATAGTGAACAACATAAGACCATATACATTTTCTTTATCGATTTATTATTGTACAAAGAGTTGGCAGGGATTATGCGGTTTTTCTTAAGAATTACAAGCATTTTTATTCAGTTATATGAAAGTGGCATCATCAAATACCTTAAAAAGCTTAAAATGCTAGGTCACATCGTCTGCTCTTCATTACGTTCGCTAAATGTAAGTTCTCATTATCCTGAATCCAATATTTCTGATTTTCTGCGTTGTTTATTAATCGGTAATGATTTAGTTAGCGACCTCACCTTCTGACAGTCCTTCTTTCTGTTTTTTTAAAACGTTTATTTTCTTGAAGACGTTCATCAGAAAAGTTTCTAGTGGACTACAATTTAACCATTTTTAGCCCCTTAAATGTTATATGATAATAAAAATTGTAACAAGTAATGACATTTCCAAAGTATGAACTCACTTTTATTCGTTGACGTGCACGATGTTGTGTTCCAAGAACAAATTCAGATGCTGGTACAATTAACGGTGCACAACAGCATTCACCATAATCTCGGTACATTAGACAAATTTGACATGAATAGCAAAAGAAGACACAACAACCTGAAATCAAATACGAAATGCATTGAAACTTAACATTCCATTACAATTTGAGACAATGCTAAACTGCCAGTATGCATTGGTTGATCACTGAAAAGTAACTAGTTTCAAGCTATCTAGTCTCAAACACTGAACGGATTATGTTAATCGTTTTATAATATGGTCAAAATACTACCAGAATTCACATCACCATGCACTTTGATTGATATTAGATGATTGGAGACAGTCTGCAAGTAGCTACGGACAAACATTCTGTGCTTGTTAGCCCTTGACAGGACTGATGTCCCCAGAGATTCAAACCAACTGCAGGTAGTGATTCAGTAAGAGACACTGCCAAATAGCACAATGGTTACACCTGTAACTACAGAAATATGTAATGGGGTTTTAAATCTCTCACGGGACATCACATCCTTGAAGGTTCCAGATACACCTTGCTAACAACTACTAGGAAGCATGAGACTCATGGAGCAAGGCTATTTGTTTTTTGCCATATCACCAAGAGTTCTCAACCCCTGATTCCTTTGGTTTCAGGAACTCTAACCAGGTAGTCCACATTTCTTCACACTATTCAGATCAAGAGTCACAGACTTCATCGACTAGGACCACGTCTTGGTCTAGCAACCCAGAGCCCTCTACTAACCAAATTCAACTTCCCTTATCAAGGTACATCAAGACAGGAAGTGACTCAGCCTGCACAGTACCCACCCAAGCCATCTCAGTCAACTAAGGTTTACCACCTCATCAATCGACTTGCCTATCTTGCCTAGTACCCTTCGCCTAACTTCAACGTTGCTCACATGCTAATTCCACTAAACACGAACAATGCTACCAGGACATCTAAAGCTTGTAATCGCTTCTTGTTTTCTACTTCTAACGACCATGTCTCACAGCCATATAATAGGACAGAACGGAATGCAGCGTAGTATACTCGTCTTTTAACAAGTAATCAGATATCTCGCTAGTCAGCGCCACAGATTACGCATGTTGACAAATGCCAATCGGACCTTCTGTATCCAGGTTGAGATTTCGTTGGTAACCCACCCCATCGAGATGATGCAACTCCCCAAGTAATCGAAGTGGTCAACACTTTCCATCACTTCACTATCTATCATTAAACTAGGAGCAGTTCCAGACAAGTCCTGAAGTATCAGTTTTCATTTGACAGGTGTGAAAAGCATGCTATCCGAACTTACTCAGATTTCTGCTCAATGTATCCAGAAGTTTGTATTTTGTCAGCGTCTTCATGCAGCAGAACAATATCGTCTGCATACTCCAAGTAAGCTAGATGGCCTCTAAGGCATAGATAAATTCCAGTGAATTGGAATGCACCTAAAGTTACGTCTATTCGCACGTCTATGACAAAGTTAAATAGGAACGATTACAGTTGGGCACCTCTGGTGGACACCACTAGTCATCGTTAATTCAGATGAAGATTCGTATACGCTACTTAGTACCTCCGTCAATTTAATAAGCTGTTTCCTTTCTCCATCCTTGAAAACTCAGGTGTAAAACTTTCAGTTCCTGCTGATCTGCATCGTTTCAGGTTGGAAACCGCTTTGTCAACTTCAAGGTTAGTTGGAGGATCGACATCTTTGTCCCATTCGAGCAGGATGTTGGGCAACTGAAGCGTTTTGGGGCCAGTTGAAATGTCCTTCAAATTGTCTTACCCAGCGTTCTAGGCACCTGTCCTGGAAGGTTATCATGGCACCATCCTTTTTAGCGATCATTCCACTCATCATCGTCTTCTTTTTGTCAGTATCCTTCTTAGGTTTTACTGGTTGGCAGGTGTTCCGTAGATATACAACCTTCTCAATCCCTGTCGCTTTCGCCACCCATTATTATTCGCGATCGACGCGAATACTCTAGGTCAACTTACATTTAAGTTGTTTTCGTTCTTCGATGGGGTCTGAGCCGGACAGAAAGTCTTGTCACATCAGTCGGGTTTGTTGACGCTGCGAAAATGCAGTGATATTTGGTAAACTTCGGCTGGCGGTTATCAGCCGTCCTTATAACTGTTTCTACACCAGACCTAATATCATTACACGCAAGGTTTCCTAAGCATGAACATTGTTTTCAAGTTCAGATAAATGCTTGGCTGACTCCTCGCTAAAAGCATAGTTAACTTCCTCAACTACCAGTCGAGCATAGACCGGCTTTACTGTAGCCTGTTTCCTGTGACCAGTAAAGTGCGGACATACATGAACACGCATTGACGCATAATAGGAGTTCAAACTGATATTCCAAAAACAGCAGCATTCCTCCACCGATTCTCTGCAACGATGACTTATAGCTCTGTGATCTATATATGTCCATTCTTGGTTGGTTTGAAGTAGGTGGATGTCATATGAGACAGTGTTTTGCATTAAACCCAAATTTAGTGTTCGGCAGAAACAAGTGACTGTTGGAACAGAATGGCAAGAAACGATCACCGTTGTCGATTTGTTGGTATGGAATTCTGTAGGCACCTCCAAGATTCCTTTCGAATTGACTCAGGTTCCTTGCTTGAGCATTAAAGTCGCTTACAATTATGACTACATCTGAAAGTTTTGCTATCTGTAGCAAAGTTGACAGATTTTCATAGAATTCGTCCTTCGCATCATTCAGACTACAGTCAGTGAGTGGGAAGGCGAAGATTACGAATGGGCGTTGACTAGTCTCACGGTCCTTCCCAGTTTCTACAGATTCATTCACTCGAACAGTGGATAGACGGCTGCTGACCGGATACCAGAAGTGCAGAAGCTCACATTCTGCCCTACCACCCAATGCTATGTCTACGCCAACGAGTCTAAGAGAGGTAGCCAGTGGGTCTTCATATAATGGTAAGATGAGTTTTGAAGATTCACCACTATGATCAGATAGGGCCAATTTCATGACAACGCTTGGATCCTGTCGGTATACTTGTCATAGAGACATAGCATACATGTATGGATCTAGATCCTAGAGTTCTGGGAGCGTTGTTTTCTGTCTGATTTGGTCTGCAGTTTCCTCTTTGAAAGCTTTCACATGAAGTCAATGGCGGGCAGGGTTTCAGAAGACTAAGAATGAGGTTTCGATGTCTTTGATCTTTGGTAATGATTCCAGAGTAAAAGGTTGAGTAAGGTGTAGGAGGATTAACATTAGTTAAGGAGGTAGAGGAAAGGGCGGAGACAGAGTTTAGGAGGACAGGTTACATTTCCTTGTCTTGGATACTACTAAAACCATGAGGGTGGTTAACACTTTCCGATTGCCCACAGCATGGAAGGCTATGTCTTTTTAAGGAACCCGAAGGAGAGAAAAAGATTTGCAACCGCAGAGCCCACAGAATATCTACTTGAGGCTTGTTGCATACAGCCTTTTGCGGACTGTTATTTTCACATTTAGTTGTTCTAACATTGAACAGAGGAAACTCATACCTTTTTAATACAGTCGCGGTCTCTGATTTGAAGTATTTAGTCGTAACTCTTTCAGTATCATTCTAGACAACATCATCAGCACAAACTTCAGAAAGAAGAAAGATAAAATTTTTTACCAGCTCTACAAACACACACAGGAAACACTAATGGGATCGCCTGCATCAGGTATAATTGCAGAAACAGTGATGCAAGATTGAAAACTGTGGGATTGCAGTCTATCAAACCAAAACTGGCTCTCACACTTGCATGACGCCTTTGTCATCATCAAAAGAAATGAATCGAAAAACCCTCACATATTAATCAACAACATTTTCGATGACATCACATTCACATTCGAAGAGTAACTGAATGACAAACTTGCGTTTTAGGTGTTCTCATCACTAGAAGGGATTCGGGGAATTAGAAACTGCAGAACACAGAAAACCAACTTATACGGACGGATTCGATCCTCAGCTACATTACTAACAACCCAACAACATACAAAATCAGCCAAATGAAAATATTGATCAAAAGAGCGAAGACAGACTGTAGTGCATCAATCCTGCGGTGAGGAGAAGAAGATGACTATTTGATGAGTGTTTTTCCGAAGAACAGCCATCCACGCAACTTCATCGAAAGATGTTTACATAATTCATCGTCAACCAAGAAACCAACTTCAAAATCCAACAAACGAATCATCCTACCCTACACGAAGAACGTCTCCGAGATCACGATTAGATTACTGAAGCCTCTTAGAATCACTGTATCTCACAAGTCCACAAAATCTCTTCACTCTCTCTTATGCAAGCCGAAAGATACAACAGCAATGGAAGACATGCAAAATGTTATCTAAAAAAATAAACTGCAAAAGCTTCGAAAAACACTACATTGGACAGAGTGCTTGCTCTCTTCGTATCCGTTGACATGAACATCAACCAGCAGTGAAGCGTCATGACATATCTTTGCTCATATCAATGCATAGAGACAACGATGGATGTGAATTTGATTGAAAATGTGGAAATGCTGGGTAGGGGAAATACAAAGAATGCCAGAAAATGTTTGGAAGCTTTGTATTCAGGTCAGTCAGCAGTCAACAGATATATTGACATTGACCGAATCTATTGACTATTAATAAACAACAAGTGGGTGAAAGTTCGAGTCGGCAGTACAACCGATCGAGATGAATGTGGAGACAACGATAAGACCTTGGTAGAAACACGAGATTGCACACAAGACCGTCAGGACAAGCTATTAAGCCACATGTGGAGAAAACTTAAAACATCTCACTTCTTTCTGAAGTTTGTGCTGATGATGTTGTCTAGAATGACAACGAAAGATCCACGATTAAACAATCTAGTTTAGAGAACACAACATCATTTGAATCATCCTTCTGAGCTACAAATATTCTCCATCATCTTAAAATTCATATCGCCGGTGCCAAATGATCGTAGGGTTGGGAAGAGTTTGTGATTTTTATGGCCAATCTTTCTTAACCCCCTCCTTCCTTCAGAGAAGACAGCATCAGCGATCCACTGCTGGTCATTCAGGGGAAACCTTGCTGCTATCGCACACCATCCAGCTAACATCAGTA